CAGGTCGAGCGACTGCAAGCTGCTGAGCCCTGCAAAGACTTCGGGAGGCAACTCACTGAGATGGTTGTTCCCCAGATCCACTGATTGCAGCAATGGTTGTTTTGCAAACATTGTGGCTGGAAGTGACTCCAATTGATTTTCGCTCAAATCCAAAACTGTCAGGCATGGGCTGTGCTTAAGCAGGTCGCTTGGCAAAACGCCATCCAAATAATTCCCACGAACGATCTGTTTGCCACGTTCATCACGTTTGCCCCCAAGCAACAATTGCTCTAGGGCTGGCATTCGGTACAGCAAGTCTTCGGGCAGGTACCGAAGGTCATTTTGGCTCAGTGACAAAATACTTAGGTTTTCTAAACCAACAAAAGTCTCGGACTCCACATGTTCCAGTCCCAAGCGGCCCAAATCCAGGAGTTGCAAGCCATTCAACGGCTCGAACATCTTCTTGGGCAAAACTTTGAAGGGATTCCCCGAGAGTGACAACCGCTGTATGCCGCTTGACCTTCTGAAATTGAAAGCATCTGGTGCGACACTGGCAATGGTTTGATTGCTCAAGCTCACATCTTCGAAGTGCAGAACGCCAGCAAGGCTGCAACTTGTGAGCTTCTTCAAGCCAGTGGGCAATTGGATGCAGTGACATGGGAAGCATCCAGAGGGTCTCGGGTACGCATCTGCTGTAAGCAACAACCATAGAATTGCAACCAGCAAGACTGGAGAATACCTAGAGTCGGTGCTCGCAAAACCACGCAAACAAAAAAGGTACATGAACATATGAACCGTTTAAACGAAAAAGAGTTGAGCGAAGTACTTAAACAAAAAAATCCGTCTGTCTGGGCAAATTACAGCACTTTGCAGCATCTTCTGGTTGTCGGACTCCAGGACTGGGGAGTGGAGCTTCGTGGGTGTCGTGGATCTTGTTGAGGTTGTGGACGATGGCGTTCCACAGCACGACACACGGTGCACACATGCGCAAGCGAGTAGAAAACGGCAAAGAAACCAAAGAAATCTGTAGGGAAAGCAAACGATGGATCCAATGTAGCTCTGAAGTTCACCGCGGCTTGGTCTCCAAAATTCCCTGAGATGTCTTGGTCCAGCCCTAGCTCATACGTGGCCAGCACAGTCATGATGAGGTATGTGCCGGTGTAGGCAACATCAAAAATGGCATCCAGCACGGCAGCGCCCACGCGCGCCCAGTTTTCAGAAGGAAAAACAAAAAGAACCGTGGGATAAATGCTGTTCAAGAAAAGGAAGCCGACGAAAGCCCAGAAGCATCGTTGGAATGGAGCTACGCGCTGCTTGCCGGATGAATGAAATGAAAGGGACACAATACCACCCATGATCTGTAACTTGCCAAGTGCTTGCAGCATCACAGTGAAAAACTGCAAGATAGCCACTTTGAAGGGAAA